TGGACCATGTTATTAATTACTTAATTGACATATTTTATTGTTACATTAACCAGTCAAATATATATGATTTTCACAATATCTTAATAACTAATAAGAACATTAATAATAAATAAATTTAAATATAACAAAATCTGTTGAAAAAATCTAACAAGATCTTACCAAAAATTTTAAATATATTTTTTATAAAATAAGTATTTCTGTATTTCGTTATTAGATATGATTATAATTAAAGCTAAAATATAAATCATATATTAAAAAAAATTAGTTATATATTTATAAAATAAAAAATATACCCGCACGGATGTGCGGGTGAAACTCTAGTTCCATCTTTAATTACAAAAAAAATTTAATATCAGAACTAATTACTAATATTTACTAGTTGTAGTAAACAAATTATTTGAATATTTTTAGTTAAATAAACTTAGTGGTTTTGGTATATGTGCATGTGTCACAGTTGGATGCCAATCTTTTGGGAAATGATTATGACTTAATTTTTGTTTGTTTTCCATCTACCAACCTACCAAAACCCATTCAGAAACCATGTGATTCATACAAGCTAATACTATTTATATATTTTCTTTCTTTTTTATTTAATTATTACACTCCTCTCCTACTTTGTTTCTTGTTCAAGTATATTTGTTTGACTGTGCATATGAATTATATTGAGAAAATCATATTCAACTGCAGTACTTGTTTGATTGCTTATAAACACTGAACAGTAGAGTCAAAGCAGGCTCAAGTCAAAGCCGGCGGTTCCATCTTTGTCATGACTATGTGTTTTTCCCATTTGGATTGATATTTATTGGGCCACGTTATACATAAATTATAATTTGTAGTCCAAGAGTATCCAGGCCTAACTATTGCTGTAACATATCCAAAAGACTTATGTACATGAGTTCCTGCGATACAATCGCGATTGTGACTCCTAGTCCAATAGTAAGCATGCTCAACCTTTGTCTGTGTTAATGTCCCCTGTTTTGGACCGTGGACTGACCATTGTGATTAGAATTGCAAGATGAATGGTGCACTACAAAGTGGCAAGTCACCAAAGAAGCAAACCTTTGAACAGTCTGCTAAATTAAACAAATAGACCTCCTTTTGGATATTCTTTAAGTTGTATGATATACTAATAATTTGTATGTTTTCACCAAAGCCAAAGATCAAACAAAATCTAGAAAGAAGACTACACCATAAAGCCTAACCATTTCATCTGAAAACTGCATGACATATGCCTTTGTAAAAGCTTTAGATCAAAATATAAACAATCACTTCAATTACATGTCTAAGCTCAACCATTCATACCAGCAAAAGGCATAACCCTACAATAACAACATATTGTTCTAATGTCGATACATATAAGGGTTTTGCGTGTATTAAGAGTGCTCGTAAGTTCAAAGCTTGACATATGTGAAAGAAGAAAGATGTGATTTGTTTTACATATTTCATAAATCAAACGTTCATTTCGCAATACTAACCATTTGTGAGCTAAATGCTGATGTATAATAAACTGTTGTTAGTACCATTCTTTTCACCTGATATTTTACCCTATCAAACATATGTTCACAGTTCACACATAACGTGTTAAGTTTGCACCACGATGCGTGAAAAGAAGGGAATAAGAGAAGCAATATCTTGTAACTTCTTAAAAAGTATTTCGTGATCATACATATTAAAGACAATGTCAAAAATACATATTTAGTTGTTCAATTGCGTTGTTTGCTCAAAGATTTGCTTCTTTGTTGGTGTGCAGCAACAATCATTCCTGCCTCTAAAATCTTCACATAACCCGCCAGCATAACCTTTCGACAAGCAAAGTTGTTTGCAATCAGCAGGACATGGTCCAAAACATAAGAGATCAGCATCGCCGGCTGTCGTTTGTTCTGCTAAACAGTAAAAATTACTTAATAAACACATTAATGTGTAGAAAAAGAGAAATGATACGCATATTTTTAGTTAATGTATGCTAATAAAAAAAAAAGATAGAGACAAGAATTTTAATGTGAATGCTTGACTAACCTGTTATGGCTAACAACATAAGCATTGTGATGGTGCTAACAAAAAATAAGGATCTGATCTTGTTCATTGTTTTTGGTGTTTCTGAAGTACTAGTATAGATATGTGTAAAATGTTGTGAATATTCTTATGTCTTAGTAGTGTTGTTGGTTTCTGTTGAGAGAACTAATAGGTCTTTATATAGTTAAATTGGTGATGTACGTTCATAAACAAAATCAATTGGAAACGTTGATCAACTCTATTCTTCGTTATAAACTTGGTAAAAGTTGATTTTAATGATTTGAATTTGACTATTTCATAAGGAAGTATATCACAGAAAAAATCAAACACTTGAAGTCTGTTACGGTCCATGATAAGTAACTGGGTAATAAAACTCTAGATTGATTGATTAGTGGATATAATTAGTAATCCGTTGACTGGCTGGTTTCCGTTTTAGAAATAGAAGTCTTTGGCATCTTAAAGGATAATTTTGAGAGTGTGCACTTAATATCTGTGGGTTAACCCCTATGAAAAATTGAATTTTTCCGATAAATGTCATTTGTACTTAAGTTTAGCCTCTTTAATGGTGTTTACAATATCTACCCATATTAAAAATTTATACTAATATATCTTAAATTTATTTTCATATAGACATCAATTATAATTTTCTAACGAGTAATTTAATAAAATTTCATATACCACGTAAATCAAAGAACTAAATCCTATGAAACTATTTATATTGTAGGGAAATTAGGACAACAAAGGTGCCAGACATCCTTGATCTTCATCATATATCTGTGTTGGATGCATTTATGCATTAAAAAAAATTATCATATTTTTTTTAATTTACTTTAAAATCTGTAGGTTAATCCATACAAAAAGATCAATTTTTTCGACAAATGTTATATACCGAATTTTAAACTCTTTTTGTTGATTAAAAAAATACCTAATCACATTATACGTTTATATTAATGTATTTTAAACTTATTTTCACAGTACACGGGAAACGTTTCTAATGTTTTAATCAGTAATTTAATAAAACTTCATATTCCACCTAATTAAGTAGATTAACTTCTATAAAATCTCTAAGTTCCGGAGAAACGGGGACAAATACGATCTCAGACCTCTTTAATTTTCATCACATGCCAGTGCATGAAGAATCTATGCATTAATAAAAATATCATATACTCTAATTTATTTTACCAAAAGATTTTTTCTTTCAATAAATGTTATATATACTAAAATTTAGTCTCATTAACTTAAAAAAGAATAAATACATAACCACATTCTAAATGTGTATTAATGTATTACAAAAATATTTTCATGGTACATGGGAATCATTTATAATTTTCCAATGAATAATTTTTTAAACTTCATATAGGATCTAATTAGTGTACTAACCCCTATCAAAATCTCTATTTTGTAGAGAATTTGGAACATCTAAGGTCTCAAACATATTTTAATCTTCATGCTTTGTCACTACATGATGCAACTATGCATGGAACCAAAATAATATTTTTTTCTAATTTATCTTGAAATATGTTGGTAACCCCTACAAAAGATTGGGGTTTCCAATAAATAGTTTTTATACTATTTAGCCTCTTTAGTGTTGTTTAAAAATACGTAACCACACTCCAAGTTTATATATATGTATGCTAAACTTTATTTTATGGTACATGAGCATCATTTCTAATTTTTTAATGAGTAATTTATTTAAACTTTATATATCACCTAATAACTGTACTAACCCCTACAAAAACTCTATTTTCAAGAGAAACGGGAAAACCTAAAATCTCAAACTTATTTATTCTCCATACTATGTTAGTGCATGATAAAATATTCAATAAAATAAAAATATCATATTTTCTAATTTATCTTGAAATATGTGGGTTAACTAATACAAAATATTGAGTTTTTAGAAATATTTTCCAATAAATTTAATTTCATACTTTCTAGAGTTATTTAAAATTTATGAACTTATTCTACATATATATTAATGTATCATAAACTCTCCTTCATTGTACATGGTCATCCTTCTAAATTTTTAACAATTTCTTTTATAAAATTTCATATACTATCTAAATCACTAGACTAACATCTATGAAATCATCATACGTCACTACACGATGCAAATATGCGTTTAAATATACCATATTTTTGATTTATTCTCAAAATTTATGGGTTAACCCCTCGGAATGAAATTCTTGTTAAATTATCAATATATTGATTTTTATACTCTTAAATGTAGCCTAAAAATTTGTAACCATATCCTAAATTTACATTAATGTATGCTAAACTTTCTTTCATGCTAAAAGGGTGTAAATTCTAATTTGCTAACACTTAATTTAATAAAACTTCATATACCACTTAAATCATGGACTAACCACTATGAAATATATATCCTCTAGAGAAACAAAGATAATAAAGGTTCCACAAATATTTGAAAACCATTATATGTCATTGCATAATGCAATTATTTATTAAAAAAAATTTCAATTTTTTGATTTTTTTATGCAAACACTGTGGGTTAACCACTACGAAATATTGAGTTTTTAGAAATATTTCTAATAAACTGAATTTTATACTTTCTAGAGTTATTTAAGATTTATGAAATCATTATACATATATTTTAATGTATCATAAACTCTCCTTCATTGTACATGGTCATCCTTCTTATTTTTTAACATCTTCTTTAATAAAATTTCATATACTATCTAAATCACTTGACTAACGTCTATGAAATCTCAGTTCTCTAGAGAAACAAAGGAAGAAAATGTTCCAAACCTTTTTGAAAATCATCATACGTCAGAACACGATGCAAATTTGCGCTTAAATAAAATTACCATATTTTTGATTTTTTCTCAAAATTTATGGGTTAACCCCTATGGAAATAATGATTTTTTTTGTTAAATTATCAATATATTAAAGTTTATACTCTTAACTGTTGCCTAAAAATTCGTAACCATATCCTAAATTTATATTAATGTATGCTAAACTTTCTTTCATGCTAACAGGGTGTCAATTCTATTTTTCTAACAATTAATTTAATAAAACTTTATATACCGCCTAAATTATCCTAAATTTATATTAATGTATCCTAAACTTTCTTTCATGCTAAAAGAGTGTCAATTCTAATTTTCTAACAATTAATTTAATAAAACTTCATATACCGCCTCAATCAATGAATTAAACATTATGGAATATATATTCTCTAGAGAAACAAAGATAATAAAGGTTCCACACATATTTGAATATCATTATATTTCATTTCATGATGCAATTATTTATAAAAAAAAAAAATTCAATTTTTTTTTTGAAAAGCTGTAGTTTAACCACTATGAAATATTGAGTTTTTAGAAATATTTCCAATAAATTGAATTTTATACTTTCTAGAGTTATTTAAAATTTATGAACTCATTCTACATATATATTAATGTATCATAAACTCTCTTTCATTCTACATGGTCATCCTTCTAATTTTTTAACAATTTCTTTTATAAAATGTTATATACTATTTAAATCACTAGACTAACATCAATGAAATCTCAGTTCTCTAGAGTAACAAAAAAAAATAAAATGTTCCAAACCTTTTTGAAAATTATCATACGACAGTACACGATGCAAATATGCGTTTAAATAAGATTACCATATTTTTTTGCTTATTCTCAAAATTTATGGGTTAACCCCTATGGAAATAATGATTTTTTTATTAAATTATCAATATATTGAAGTTTATACTCTTAAGTGTTACCTAAAAATTCGTAACCATATTCTAAATTTATATTAATGTATGCTAAAATTTCTTTCATGCTAAAAGGGTGTCAATTCTAAATTTCTAACAATTAATTTAATAAAACTTCATATACCGCCTAAATTTATGGACTAACCACAATGAAATATATATTCTCTAGAGAAACAAAGATAATAAAGGTTCCACACATATTTTAACATCATTATATGTCATTGCATGATGCAATTATTTATTAAATATATTTTGAATTTTTTGATTTTTTTTGCTAAAACTGTTGGTTAACCACTACGAAATATTAAGTTTTTAGAAATATTTCCAATAAATTTAATTTACACTTTCTAGAGTTATTTAAAATTTATGAACTCATTCTACATAGATATTAATGTATCATAAACTCTCTTTCATTATACATGGTCATCCTTCTAATTTTTTAATAATTTCTTTAAAAAATATTTCATATACTATCTAAATCACTAGACTAACGTTTATGAAATTGTTCTCTAGAGAAACAAAGGAAGAAAATGTTCCAAACCTTTTTGAAAATCATCATACATCAGTACACGATGAAAATATGCGTTTAAATAAAATTACCATATATTTGATTTATTGTCAAAATTTATGGGTTAACCCGTACAGAAATAATGATTTTTCATTAAATTATCAATATATTGAATTTTATACTCTTAAGTGTTGTATAAAAATTCATAACCATATCCTACATTTATATGAATGTATGCTAAACTTTCGTTCATGCTAAAAGGGTGTCAATTCTAGTTTTCTAACAATTAATATAATAAAACTTCATATATCGCTTAAATCAATGCCATTATGAAATATATATTGTCTAGAGAAACAAAGATAATAAAGGTTCCACACATATTTGAACATCATTATATTTCATTGCATGATGCAATTATTTATAAAAAAAAATTCAATTTTTTGGTTTTTTTTTTCCCAAAAAACTGTAGGTTTACCACTACGAAATATTGAGTTTTTAGAAATATTTCTAAGAAATTGAATTTTTATTAATCATATCCTAAAGCCTCTACTATGTATTTTACAGCATATGCAAAAGGTATATCAGAGACAAGCAAGCTTGACCACAGGTAAAGAAAGACAACAATATTTGTGTAAAATTGATACTTATAGGCTTTTACCTTATGTGTGTTATGAACTGAAATTTATGTTGCAGAAAAAGGTATCTCCGAGAGATGATGCACCAAATCTATGTTTGTAAATTGTAATATACCGTATGTATGATAAAAAATCAAAAATCACAAAATAAAACTTTCTTGATCCTTTTTGTTTTTGTTTTCTTGGCTTCACAAGTGTCTTAAACGGAATTTTTTTTCTTTTTAATTGATTGAATCAACAAGAACAGCCGCCTCCACCACCACCTCCTTGTTGATCACCTTGTGATGAATTTGAAGTGTTCTTTAGGTTCACATCAACCATATCCTCTGATTTTGTTGCTGATGAATATGAATCCATCCCAGGCAATGCTACAGCTATCTTCCGGAGCAAAGCCTGCCAAAAAATGACTCATGTTGTGTCACAGAAATCAAACAATAAAAGATAATAAAACACACTCAAGTCTTTTTTTTTTTAATAATAACCTTAATGTTAAAATTTTCTTTGGCACTAGTCTCAATGAACATCACTCCATGCTCATTAGCCTTTTCTTCCCCTTCACTGATCGATACTTGTCTGTTTTTTTTTTCATTACAAAAAGAAGACGCATGTTATGCAAAAGGTTAGGTAATTATACCACATATTAGGTGGAATATGAATGTTAAGTAAATTAATCATTGGAAAATTAGAAATGATTCCAATGTACCATAAAGATAAGTTTAGCAAACATATATAAAAATTTGGAGTGCGTTTACGTATTTTTAAACAACACGAAAAATGCTTAATAGTGTATATAGGATTTAACGTAAAATTCAGTTTTTTCATAGGGGTTAGCCCACATATTTCATGAAAATTTATAAAAAAATAGAATTTTTGTTTTAATGCATAGCTGCGTCATACACCGACAATGTATGAATAATAAATAGGTTTGAGAACTTAAATGTTTCCGTTTCTCCAGAAAATAAGATTTTTATTGGGGTTAATCCACATATTAAGATATATATGAATGTTGAATAAATTAATCATTGGAAAACTAAAAATGATGCCCATGTACCATAAATATATGTTTAGAAAACATATATAAAATTTGGAGTGCGTTTAGTTGTTTTTTAAACAACACGAAAGATGGTAAATAGTATATATAATACTTTACAGAAAATCCAGTTTTTTCATAGGGGTTAGCCCACATATTTCAAGAAAAATTATAAAAAATAAAATTTTGTTTTAATGCATAGATGCATCATACACCGTCATAGTATGAAAATTAAATAAGTTCGAGACCTTAAATGTTTCCGTTTCTCCAAAAAATAGGATTTTTATAGGGGTTAATCCACATATTAAGTGGTATATGAATGTTAAATAAATTAATCATTGGAAAATTAGAAATGATTCCAATGTACCATAAAGATAAGTTTAGAAAACATATATAAAAAATTGGAGTGCGTTTAGGTATTTTTAAACAACACAAAAATGCTTAATGCTGTATATAGGATTTAACAAAAAATCCAGCACTTTCATAGGGGTTAGCCCACATATTTCATAAAAATTAAAAAAATAGAATTTTTGTTTTAATGCATAGTTGCGTCATACACCGACATTTTATGAAAATTAAATAGGTTTAAGACCTTAAATGTTTCTGTTTCTCCAGAAAATAGGATTTTTATTGGGGCTAATTCTCACATTAAGATATATATGAATGTTAAATAAATTAATCATTGAAAAATTAAAAATGATTCCCATGTACCATAAATATATGTTTAGAAAACATATATAAAATTTGGAGTGCGTTTAGTTTTTTTTTAAACAACACGAAAGATGGTAAATAGTATATATAGTAGTTAACGGAAAATCCAGCTTTTTCATAAGGGTTAACCCACATATTTCAAGAAAAATTATAAAAAATGGAATTTTTGTTTTAATGCATAGATTCATCATACACCGTCATAGTATGAAAATTAAATAGGTTCGAGACTTTAAATGTTTCTGTTTCTGCAGAAAATATGATTTTATAGGGGTTAATCCACATATTATGTGGTATATGAATGTTAAGTAAATTAATCATTAGAAAATTAGAAATGATTCCAATATACCATAAAGATAAGTTTAGCAAACATATATAAAAGTTGGAGTGCGTTTAGGTATTTTTAAACAACACGAAAAATGCTTAATAGTGTATATAGGATTTAACGTAAAATCCAGCTTTTTCATAGGGGTTAGCCCACATATTTCATGAAAATTTATAAAAAAATAGAATTTTTGTTTTAATGCATAGCTGCGTCATACACCGACAATGTATGAATAATAAATAGGTTTGAGACCTTAAATGTTTCCGTTTCTCCAGAAAATAAGATTTTTATTGGGGTTAATCCACATATTAAGATATATATGAATGTTGAATAAATTAATCATTGGAAAACTAAAAATGATGCCCATGTACCATAAATATATGTTTAGAAAACATATATAAAATTTGGAGTGCGTTTAGTTGTTTTTAAACAACACGAAAGATGGTAAATAGTATATATAATACTTTACAGAAAATCCAGCTTTTTCATAGGGGTTAGCCCACACATTTCAAGAAAAATTATAAAAAATAAAATTTTGTTTTAATGCATAGATGCATCATACACCGTCATAGTATGAAAATTAAATAAGTTCGAGACCTTAAATGTTTCCGTTTCTCCAAAAAATAGGATTTTTATAGGGGTTAATCCACATATTAAGTGGTATACGAATGTTAAATAAATTAATCATTGGAAAATTAGAAATGATTCCAATGTACCATAAAGATAAGTTTAGAAAACATATATAAAAAATTGGAGTGCGTTTAGGTATTTTTAAACAACACAAAAATGCTTAATGCTGTATATAGGATTTAACAAAAAATCAAGCACTTTCATAGGGGTTAGCCCACATATTTCATAAAAATTAAAAAAATAGAATTTTTGTTTTAATGCATAGTTGCGTCATACACCGACATTTTATGAAAATTAAATAGGTTTAAGACCTTAAATGTTTCCGTTTCTCCAGAAAATAGGATTTTTATTGGGGTTAATTCTCACATTAAGATATATATGAATGTTAAATAAATTAATCATTGAAAAATTAAAAATGATTCCCATGTACCATAAATATATGTTTAGAAAACATATATAAAATTTGGAGTGCGTTTAGTTTTTTTTTAAACAACACGAAAGATGGTAAATAGTATATATAGTAGTTAACGGAAAATCCAGCTTTTTCATAAGGGTTAACCCACATATTTCAAGAAAAATTATAAAAAATGGAATTTTTGTTTTAATGCATAGATTCATCATACACCGTCATAGTATGAAAATTAAATAGGTTCGAGACTTTAAATGTTTCTGTTTCTGCAGAAAATATGATTTTTATTGGGGTTAATCCACATATTAGGTGGTATATGAATGTTAAGTAAATTAATCATTAGAAAATTAGAAATGATTCCAATATACCATAAAGATAAGTTTAGCAAACATATATAAAAGTTGGAGTGCGTTTAGGTATTTTTAAACAACACGAAAAATGCTTAATAGTGTATATAGGATTTAACGTAAAATCCAGCTTTTTCATAGGGGTTAGCCCACATATTTCATGAAAATTTATAAAAAAATAGAATTTTTGTTTTAATGCATAGCTGCGTCATACACGGACATTGTATGAATAATAAATAGGTTTGAGACCTTAAATGTTTCCGTTTCTCCAGAAAATAGGATTTTTATTGGGGTTAATCCTCAAATTAAGATATATATGAATGTTAAATAAATTAATCATTGAAAAATTAAAAATGATGCCCATGTACTATAAATATATGTTGATAAAACATATATAAAATTTGGAGTGCGTTTAGGTATTTTTCAAACAACACGAAAGATGGTAAATAGTATATATAGTACTTAACGGAAAATCCAGCTTTTTCATAGGGGTTAGCCCACATATTTCAAGAAAAATTATAAAAAATGAAGTTTTTGTTTTAATGGATAGATGCATCATACACCGTCATAGTATGAAAATTAAATAGGTTCGAGACCTTAAATGTTTCTGTTTCTGCAGAAAATATGATTTTTATAGGGGTTAATCCACATATTAAGTGGTATATGAATGTTAAGTAAATTAATCATTGGAAAATTAGAAATGATTCCAATGTACCATAAAGATAAGTTTAGCAAACATATAAAAAAATTTGGAGTGCGTTTAGGTATTTTTAAACAATAGGAAAAATGCTTAATAGTGTATATAGGATTTAACGTAAAATCCAGCTTTTTCATAGGGGTTAAACCCACATATTTCAAGAAAAATTATAAAAAATGAAAATTTTGTTTTAATGCATAGATGCATCATACACCGTCATAGTATAAAAATTAAATAGGTTCGAGACCTTAAATGTTTCCGTTTCTCCAAAAAATAGGATTTTTATAGGGGTTAATCCACATATTAAGTGGTATATGAATGTTAAGTAAATTAATCATTGGAAAATAAGAATTGATTCCAATGTACCATAAAGATAAGTTTAGAAAACATATATAAAAAATTGGAGTGCGTTAAGGTATTTTTAAACAACACAAAAAATGCTTAATAATGTATATATGATTTAACGTAAAATCCAGCTTTTTCATGCCCACATATTTCATGAAAATTTAGAAAAAAATAGAATTTTTGTTTTAATGCATAGCTGCGTCATACACCGACATTGTATGAATAATAAATAGGTTTGAGACCTTAAATGTTTCCGTTTCTCCAGAAAATAGGATTTTTATTGGGGTTAATCCACATATTAAGATATATATGAATGTTGAATAAATTAATCATTGGAAAACTAAAAATGATGCCCATGTACCATAAATATATGTTTAGAAAACATATATAAAATTTGGAGTGCGTTTAGTTTTTTTTAACTAACACGAAAGATGGTAAATAGTATATATAGTACTTTACAGAAAATCCAGCTTTTTCATAGGGGTTAGCCCACATATTTCAAGAAAAAATATAAAAAATGAATTTTTTGTTTTAATGCATAGATGCATCATACACCGTCATAGTATGACAATTAAATAGGTTCGAGACCTTAAATGTTTCCGTTTCTCCAAAAACTAAGATTTTTATAGGGGTTAATCCACATATTAGGTGGTATATGAATGTTAAGTAAATTAATCATTGGAAAATAGAAATGATTCCAATGTACCATAAAGATAAGTTTAGCAAACATATAAAAAAATTTGGAGTGCGTTTAGGTATTTTTAAACAACACGAAAAATGCTTAATAGTGTATATAGGATTTAATGTAAAATCCAGCTTTTTCATAGGTTAGCCCACATATTTCATGAAAATTTATAAAAATAGAATTTTTGTTTTAATGCATAGCTGCATCATACACCGACATTATATGAATATTAAATAGGTTTGAGACCTTAAATGTTTCTGTTTCTCCACAAAATAGGATTTTTATTGGGGTTAATCCTCATATTAAGATATATATGAATGTTAAATAAATTAATCATTGAAAAATTAA